CATTTGATAAAGTGATCTATACTAATTAAGTACCAATAAGAATATCAAAGAATATCAAAGAAATAATTATAAATAAATAAATAAAAATAAAATAGAATAAAGATTATGACTAAAAATAACTATTCAATGATATTAGAGACTATTTTTATCACAATACTATAACAAAAAATTTAATAAAGTTTATAAAAAAAAACTTTTTCTGCTATTTTAGTTTCCTTAAAAATTTTTAATATTTGAAGAAGTCAACTTCCAATATCTAAGAAATATATAGTTTAAAAACAATAATAGCTTGCTACCAAATTTTAAAAATATTATACTTTATTGTAATAATTCTTGAAGTACTTATATTGAATTAAATTATAATTACAATAAAAATAATGTTTGTTATATAAAAAACACATATGTGATTTTGTTTATCTTTTGATACCAATATTGCTAGAGATAAGTTAGTATTAAGAATTCTTTTTTATACAAATAGAATTGATTGAGAAACAATAGGATACTATACAGTATGTAAGTTAACCTGATCAATCATTATTAAATACCATATATGGTTAACTACTTAAATTTTTGACGTGTATAACATAAATCGCAAGGATCTACCGCAGATTGGCTTTATTGGTTGCGGTGAAGTCGTCTTTCCTACAAATACAGTATCTCACTCTCTTTCAACTCTTTGGCATCGTATCTATATTCGGTTTACACCTTTCTCAATAATATTTGATTATGCTTGAAATAAGAGGCGGTGGCTCGATTCCAGAAATTATATGTGGTATCGACCCTTGGGTGTGTATATATTTTTAAAAGTGTTTGAAAGTTGCACGGCAAAGTATTCAAATTCGTTTTTCGTATTCAACTTCACAGGGACCGTGGGAAAACTACACATTCACAGACTGCTTTAGAGAAATGCAAGCAAATTTCTTTTCCGTTTTTTTTTTTTAGATCGGATTCTTTTGTTCATTGATTTATTCTTGTGAACTTTTTTCTAGTGTAATTGACGCCGGACTTCCATCACTGTATTTAATCGGATCCTTATGTATTCTCATAAGTGCTTATATTCAACAAAGGCGACGAAAAGGATCAAACTACGAGAGGCTGCTTAACAATCAATCAAATTCCAGTTATGGTTCAATTGCACAAACTGTAGTGATAGATGAGGACGAATCCAGCGTCGATGATTCCAATAGTATCTCAGATGTAACTCTCGTGCCTGATGAATGTGATAAGAATGTGATTTTTGATTACACTCGATTACTCGTTAGTTTGATCTCCTTGGGGTTATTTTGCGCACTTGCCATAGTCAGATGGAAGAACTATAGCGATGAAAAACATGGGTATTACTGGGTTATCACTCCTGTTGTGGAGGCCGCAATTTGGGTTGGCGATTTATATCTTTTCATCATCATTTTTTTCTCGTGGATCTTGTCTTATTGAATTTGTTCCTTATAGATTTACGCGATCGTTTTAGCCGTGATTAACGTGGCATCAAGGCAACGTTCTGTACTTCATATTCGTGGGCATCTGGACATACTATACCTCCTTACACTCATTCTCTCCTTGATCAATCTACATTCGATGTACTCAAAATTTGGAACAGCAATCAATATT